TCATTCATTTTATTTCTTTGTTCCAAATTTTTTTCCTCTCTGAACAGATTATATGCAGTCTTAAAGATTGCATTCAAGAATAAGTTCCCGCCACCATCCCCTTCTTGCCACCAAAAAACCCCATGCACAGTATGTTTATAATACAAGCAGAGCCCTGAAAAATAAAAAGCATAACCTTTATGAGTCTCTCAGTCAAGGAGCTATGTAACAAAAGATGCGCTAAACAGAAAAGTAGAGGGACTGAACATTTTAGTAACAACAAGAAAAGAGAAAGCATACAGTATCCCTAACTGGAGATGCCCACAAAGAGAACACTTCCACCTGCCCATTGGAAAAAGTAATGCCTGCTAAAATGAGGAAGAAGAAAAAAACAAAGAAATCCATACCAAAAGGGTTCCAACAGCACCATTAACGCCAAGGCATTGTGAGTGCCTGAGAGGAGTCAGTGAAACAATCACAAACAGACATAAACTGATCAAAACCAAAGCCATTGTCAAATAACATCATCTGGAGTACTTGAGAAGCAACCATGAGAGTAAAACAATAAGCATTCTGTAGTTTTTAAACTATTTTCATATTGTCCAACTCTGAAAACATATTACAAGACCAAATCACACTTAACACTAAGGTAGCTTAATACAAAACCTATTTCCAGTGAGAAAGGTACATGGCCTCAGGAATGTCATCACCAAATACTGTGCTCAAAACACCTCCCCCGCTTGTCACAAGCACTGTAACAGTACAGATGCTGGGTAAGATGTTCAAGTGATAGTATCAACACCACAGGTCTTTGAACCAACAAAAAACCCTAATGACTCAGACATTCTAATGATTTCTGTTTCTGGATGTTTAAATAGAATATTCAGCTCTTGAACTGCAGAACATCAGGTGATATACCCTGAAGGGCTGCAGTGAAGACAGCATTGATATAAACTCCAGGAGAAACAAGGAAGAAGGTGGCGACCGGTGTAACTGGCTGCAAAGCACCAAGCAGAATACAAAAAGAGACTTGAAATAGTACCTTGTTGCTTAAAAGCAAGCAACAATCTTAGGGCAGAGAAACACATCTAAGAGTTCAGCATCAGCTTTTACTGGCAGGGGGAAGGGGGCAAAGTGAAAAGGGGGCAGGAGGCAAAAATGAAGAGACAAATGGCGCAAGAACAATAGGAGAGAAAGACAGAATGTGTCTCGTTCCTCTCTCCCTCACTGATCCTCTATCTTCATAACACAAGCATTTAAAATAGAACAAATAAATCAGCACATCCAGGCACTGCTTTACTCTGGCCAAAGCATGCAAGTGCCATATGTGTGTGTATGTATGTATATATATCTCCATATATGAAAGTCCAAAGGAGATGCAGAGAAGTTCAGTATAAAACCCGGACAGAAAGTTGTTTTGGGTTACTTTTTTCTCTGAATCTAAGTTATCAGGTAGTGATTATGAGCTATTTTAGAGGTCTTCTAGAAATTCCCAGCTGTTCCTTAAACCAGAAGGATTAACTAAACTACACTTCTAGGAAAGGCCTGTGAAAACTATTTTCTTGTTCCAAGAAGGTTTGACTTTCACATAACAACTAGTCTCTTAACAAGGAAAACACATCCTAGCAAATAACTATACTTTTATAAATCCAGTTCACACGAGAAAACATTAATTTGTAGTCTGACCAGAATCTTAGTTGCCATTGAGTACATCAGCAAAACTCTAGAAAAGGAAAACCTAGTAGGCACTCAATAACAGCATAAAGATCAGAAAAATTTGAACTGCAACACGAAAGAGCAAGAGATTTCCTCCCCAAAAAATGAAAGGAAAAAAAAAATGTATGACTATAGTACCCTACAGTCTTTATATAAAGATTTCACAAAATAAATTGGTGATGTGCTACAGAGGTAGGGATAAAAAATCCTTGAAAGTTCAAAAATCAAAATAGAGCTGGAATAAAGACTAGAAAGCCCTTAATGACTCTCATGAGTTACAAAACACTGGATAACCGCTCCAAGAAACATGAATATATACAGTTTATTGTGCAGAAGAACTAGCACATTGAAACATTTAAAAAGAATGGCTGGGATCAATTATACTGATATATTAAAAGAGAAGGTAGTAGGAGCAATCACTGCAGTCATCTGAAGTAGAAGTGGCAAGTGGAAGCCTTGGGACATTTGCTCTGCTTCACAGCACTCACACAAGTAGAAGCAAGATGAAGACGGTTTACACCACTGTGCTGTGTACTTCCATTTAGCATCCTGCCAGTAAAGCCCAAACATTTCTGTTTCATCATTTTCAGGAGGAACTTGACAACTGCCAACATGTCCACTGACACAGACTTTAAAAAACACAAACACACTTTTGCACAAAGAATTTGTATTCTAAGAACAAGTTTTTATTAGAATATGAAAAGGAAAAGCTTCCTTGTCCCACAAAGCCTGAAATGTTGTGTTTTTTAGTGAACATTAAACTCAAGTTTAAAGAAAGGACTGGAAAACCTTCATTAACACTTCCCATGCTTGTTAAGCAGACTTTTATTTGACAGCAACATGCAGGAGATAGGCAAGATTAAAACCTATGTACTTTAGAAAATTCTGTCAATAACTACTTTGTTTTTCCCTTGTATGCAACCTGTATCCTCACATGCGAGCTTGCCAGGGATACAGAAAAACAAAGCAATAGCAACCAAGGAAAATCGCACCACTAAGAGGCAAATTTTGTAACTATTTCAAGAGTAAATCTCCTTTCTAGTGAGAGAAAAATCTATAAAGCACATCTAAAGTACAATTAAAGATTCAAGATGCAAGAAAACACTGTGCCAAGTACTGCACTAATTGTTCAGCCTAAAATCAGAAAATCTACTCTAAATTTTTTCTAAAGTTTAAAATATTCTGAAAAGGAGTCTCCCTTTAAAGTCTGGTGTTAGTGTTGCAGTGCATTAGTCAAAGGAAAAAAGTGAATTATTTTGATAGCACCTCCCCTGAAAAGTCACAATGGCTTAGAATGTCACTTGGGCATCACCATTGCTGCTTTCTGAAGGGCTGTATTGCAGATTTATGCAACAGGCAATTGCATATGTGCTTCGCTACAAGGAAGTGCAGATAAAACTGCCCTATACCTGTGAGGCAACACTGGGATTCTAGGACATCCATGCAGCTTTTTGTTGTACATATGAAATTCCTACTACCTGTAAATGGAAATGCACCACAGATATGATGACAATAGATCCCTCTCAGTAACTGCTCCTGTGAACAACAGGCACCAAAGTAAAGAATTCTAGTGTTCAAATCTGTTTTGCCAAGTAAACACAGTCCATTTCATGCCACTACTGCATCTAAGGACAGCACCAAAAACTTAGCCCACAAAAAATAATCTGCATTTCTTCTGGACTTGCAGAAAAAGGGGGTGGCCTAGAATAGTTGAGAATACCAACAACTGGGAAACTGTATAAAACTACCAATAAAGGAAATATTATGCACAGCCATGAAAAATTTGCTTGAAATCTTAAGAAATAACCTCAGTTAATATCTTACCGAGTTCAAATTTTCCCTTCCACTAAAGAAACAAATCACAAATTTCCAGATATAAGCTTCAAAACCCATGTGGAATATAAAAACATGCCAGAGTTTAGACATTCCCACATCTAGTTATTTCTGACCTAATCCAAAGACCTAAATATCTCTTTGTTTCAGTTAGGCCAGACACACACCTCCAGCTAGGTAATAAAGTTACAGCAAATGCCACATCTTCCCCAAAACATTTGGGAGGTTACGCTAACTTCTGAGTTTGATTTTCAGTCCTGTTATACCACCAGTTCTCAAGGCTTCCACTGCTGCTAGTGACATTGATTGCTCCCCAGACTTTTCCATTTCTTTTCCTACATTCTTGCTGGTGCCTGTCCTACTTCCTTCATTTGAGATATGCAGAACTGTCAGCCTGAAAGTACAGCGTAGGTCTGTCCCTTCTTACCCCACTGCCTGCTAAAACCACAACTACAAACCAATACTTTTTGTAGCAACTACAAACCAATTATTTTTCCAAGTTTTCCACAGTAGGTACTGTCACTTTATGAGTTATTGGAGAAGTCATCAGATGTTTAAGACTACATTCTTCTCAAGTCTTATCACCCTACAGGAAGTTGTTTTTAAAGATTTTTTTTTCTAAATGGGGAACATAGAGGTTTTAAAGATTAATGCAAAAACTTATCTAATATCCTTTATCACAAATTTATATTGTGTAGTCCCTAGATTTTTCATTATCAGGAAGCAAAAGTAAAATCAGAGCTCAAAGACAGTATATATATACGTAAACCATGTAACTACATTCTGTACAGCACACAACTATGGTCTGTGTATTGTACAACTATATCTTCTTCCAACTGAAATATATGACTAAAATTTAACACAAAGTTATTTTACACACTAAGAAGTCAAACGATACACTATTTTTAAAAACGTGCACAGTAATTAATATGACCTGCCAGTCTATATATTTGAGAAAATATATCTACTGTGGGAATATTCCTGGCTTTTACCTCTTCCCACTCCCCGATTTGCAATTGCAACTATGCAACGCCCACCCCCACAAGCATCCATCCCTCCAGCAGCAGAGCACAAGGACACTTTGCAACGTGAAAAGAGAACTACTCATGTGTGCTCCTGCCACAGAACTGAACCATCGAGTGAGAGACCCTCAGGGCAGAGAGGACTCTGCTCGGCGACCAAGCTTCCCTCACTTCACGTTAAAAATGTTGTTAACGCCAGCAGCCCCCAGGGGTTCGCCTCCGCCGGGGCTGTATTTCCACTGGAGGCTGTATTTCGGGGCATCCACCGTACAGAAGAGCCCTCCCCAGGCGAGAGAGCCCTCCGGCCGCTAGGCAGGGCTCAGCGCCGTGCCTGTCCCACTGCCCCCTCACAGACCCCGGGCCCGAGGCCTCACCCCGGCCGTGCCACCGCTCCTGGCCGGGGAAGGGGCCGCCGGGGAGGGTCCTTACCTCTTGGGCGCTGCCTGCTCCATGCCGTCGCCGCCGCGGCCCCGCAGGGCCGAAGACCGAGCCCCCGAGCCCGAGCGGCCCCGCAGAGCTCCCGAGCGAACTCACAGCCCCCAACACGAAGCCCTCAATCTCCCACGGCCGCACTCCGGCTGCCGCCACTACCGCTACCTCCGGCCGCGGCGGGGAACCGCCCCCCCGCGCCGCTCATTGGCTACAGCCGCGCTACAGCTGCCGCTGATAGGGTGGTGTGGACGTCGCTCAGAGCGGCGGCTGCGAGAAAGCCCCGCCCCCCGCGAGGCAAGCGGGCGCTGCCGCGCCGGCGGGAGGGGAAGATCATGGACGCCGCGGCGCTGCCGAGCTCCCGGCATGCCCCGTGAGGCTACGGCCCGCAGGGCACGCCGGGAGATGTAGTCCGCCCGCGGGGCGTCCCTGCGAGGCGGGCCGTGCGAACCGGCACCCCCGCGGCGCCGTTCCGCTCCCGCGCTCCGTCCCCGGCTCTGCGCTGCGCCGCCGGGCAGGGCAGCCCCGGGCAGCACCGCCGCCCAAGGGCGGCCCTTCCCCCGCGGCCACCCCGTGGCCTCGGGCAGCGCTGCCGGGAAGCCGAGCGTTCCACCGCCGGCGTGCGCCGGGCGAGGCGGCGGCGCCTCCGCGGGCAGCCCCGGCCTTGGCGGGCAGCCGGAACAGCGCTGAGGGGAAGCTGCGGGTCGCGGCGGGACGGCCGAGCTGCTCCCCGCAGCCACCTCGGGTGACACGGGAAAGCTCCTGAGGGGAAAAGGGCCGGCGCTTGGCCCTTGGCTGTGTGGTGCCAAAGCACACAAGGTACCCTGCGAAGCAGGGAAGCTGTCACGCAATTAATTACTCAAGCAGCAGGTTTCAGGCTCCAGAGCGCCATGTGACAGCTGCAATTTCACCACCTTACAAGTCTTCGACTTTCTGCTGTTTATGTGCTTGAATCAGATGGATCCAAGTAGATCTAGCCAAGTCAATACAAGCAAAGCTGACTTGCTCAAGCCAAATTCTATATACTTTCCTGGCAGTAGGTTTATTTGCCTAACTAATGGAAGTTCAAGTTAGTAAAACACCTAGGCAAGCTCCATAAAAAACACCGAGATGCCCACATTTCACTTCATACTGACTTTAGATATGCAGGTATTACACTCCCACTTCATAAAAATATCTGCACTCCATACGTAATTTCATCTCTTTGATGTGAACTAGCAAGGGAATTTAGAATGACTGAAGTCCTACTGTTGTGCAAGTTCTCTACTTTGAGTCAGTCCAACCCTGTTGACTCACTGTAGTTGGGCCAAATGCACAATGGCAATATTGAATGAACCCACAAAACAAATCACACACCACCATATGACCTTTTAGGTTTCTTTGTTTTTCTGAGTCATGGAAAAACTGCAATAGAACATCTTCCTTTGCACAACAGATTAATGCACAGCTCTTCCAAGCATCATCCCACAAGCCACAGTGGCTCACCAGCAGAACTGCCAGATGTGTCCATAGCATAAACAGCAGTTTGTAGGATATGCCAAAAAAAAAAAAAAAAAAAAAAACCACTCAAGAAAAGGACCCAGCAGATGCCTGAGATGGAGTATGGTATAAGTGCCTCAGAAAGTGGTGAGGAGGAATTCCAAGTCTCATTTTCCAGTTCAAGGACAGGTGAGGTCAGGCAGATAGCAAATGCCACATGGCCAGTGTCCAGCTTTGTTCTACAGGGTATTTGGCTATAGCCACTGACCAATTATTATTTACAGTTCACCAATTTCACCTAATGAAGGGAAGTCTGATATCCCTATTTGGCTTTAATACTTCTGGAATGCAGAGGTTGTCTCCACATCCTTTAACACAAATATTTGAGACAGTATTTTGTCCAGGTTATTTCAGAGGAACATCTCAAGCCAAAGGTGCCACAGACTTACACATTAAAGCACAGAAAAGGATTCTTAGAAATAAAATACAGGTACTATACTATAGTTGTAACTGCAATAAAAAGAAACAGAGCCAAGAAGTGCTCCCTCTCCCCATTCACACATATATTTCATTTTCTGGAAAAACTTAGGCTAAAACAGTCTAATCCACCACTTTCACCTCTCCCTTAAACAACAGTTGACAAGAACAAAAAAAAAATTTCCAAGCAAAAACTAGCACATTTAGAAATTTTTTCATTTCATTTGAAACTATTCAATACTACCATCCGCACTTCAAAAAAATACCCTGAGTCCTCAGTAACTGAGAAAGATGGAGCAGGACTATCCTCCATCTATGCCACTGAAGAAAGAAAAGGGTGTAAAAAACTCAAGATGTCTGAAAGAGGAGAAGTTAGGTAGCCTGGTTTTATTACATAATGGGGCAGACAGTGCCAAAAAAAAAGTATGGACTAATTCCATGCCTCTCTCACAGAAATTTAAGTTGTATCTTGTACAATTGCCAGAAAGCTTTCTAAGTACATTTAAACTGAAAATAAAACATCAGTAGGATAACATATATACCACAGTATTTTTCAAGATCACTTTATTAATCTCTTATAATTTCTAGTAGTATTTTTAGTCAGTGACATTGGAATAAATAGCACTAGCTCACCTTTCCCCTGTGACATGAATTTGAGAACCATGCTGTGAAATATAACACTGATTTGGTATTCATTACAATACAGTACCTAGCCACTGGCAAAGAAGGAACTTTGAAAGGGAAAACAGATTCTACCTCATTCAGAGTTCCCAGTTAAGAGAAGTCTAGATGTTCTGGAGGCATGAATATACTATGAGATTGCTGGTGTCTAGACAAGATGGAGATGAGGAAGTTGCAGACACCCTACATGAGTATTCCCATGATTTCTTCCAACAGCAGGACTAACACTAAGAAGCCAGCTGAGTAAGAAAAGGCTTAATGTAGCCCAATCCTAAAAATGTAGGAGCAAACTAACTGAACTACTCTTTTCTTCTGAAGTATTTTATCCATTTTACAAATTTATCTGCCTGAATTAGGTCTCCCTTCTCTGCAGAACTGGCACCAACATCAAATACAATTCCTTAGGCCAAAGAATGGATGAAGACCATACTTAATTTTTGAGTACTATAATTATTTTATATTATAATACAGTTTTGTAAACAGATAAAATAATATATATTACAATTACTTATACTACAATGAAATCAGGAATCATGATGCATGGACAACTATTAGGTGCTGTATAAACATACACAAAGGAAGTTCTCAAGCCCCTAAAAATACGAACAAAAAAGTCCTAAGATATCAGTCCTGTCTCAGTTGTATATAGTTTGTAATAAAACTAAGAAGAATAAAAATTACTTGAGAAGCTCATGTCTGCATTTCCAACAGGTATTACTAATGTTGGGATTTAAATTACAAATATATACTTCAAAGTCATTCATAAACATCATGCAAATAAATTACCTATGTTATAGCAGGGACTTTATCTCATCCCTTTGATAGCAAATAAAAGCAGCATTTACTTCAGAAGGTATTAGATCAGGCTCATTTAAACAAAGTTCATTGTAATGAATACATGATGCTACTGTAAAACAGCAGAATTAATAATAGTGTGTGTTTTCCAAGAGACACTTGTCATGAACACTCCCCAAAGAAAATGCCCCTAGTCCTTCATCATGTCTGTGGTGCTTTTCACAGGCCAGCTCTTTTTCCTATGTGCTTTCTACCCTTTCACCATGGTAGCTCCCATTTCTTTCATACAGACAGGGTCTTCAATGCTCTTTCCCTTGATGTGGAATTTTCATCCCACAGTAGCTCCATTCACCTGCTTGGCACACCAAAACCAACAAAAGCCATATAGACCCCCAAGCACGCTCCCAGCTTGATCCTCCCTAAAACCCTCCACATCACTGGTGTCTCACCATGCCTTGGTCCGCTCTGGCATTGGCCCACAGAGCCCCGAGGATGCTGTGTCTCCATCACATCTGCAGATTCGCTCACAGGAAAAGGTGTTTGGCTCACAGGAGGAGGCTGGAGGCCAATCCACAGCATGGGCCCAAACCCAGGTAAGGACAGAGTTTCCCTAACTTTTCCTTTGCCCTGGGGTAGACTGCCCCACAAGCAGGGCATTCTCTCCTCTACCCTTGAGTTTTGTGAAAATAGGAATTTACTATAATTACAGACCTCCAACTTTCCATGAAACATGTTTAAGACTAGTAAGGTAAGTCACAAATGATTGTGAAGGGGAGAAAGGTAGGGGATGGCAGGCAAGCACAAAGATGGAATGAATGCAGGAGTCTGCTTTCCTTGGAATCCAATTCATAAATTCAGTAGATAAATAGTCAACAACAGCATGTTTGCATATCTCTCCCTGTGACTGCCTGATAGTGATCTGGTATGCCGAAAGTTAAGGAAAAGGCCTTGAATGAAATACCAGCTTGTTTATACAAAAGATAAGGAAACTTGACTTCTGCCTGTATTTTCTTCCTACCTATCATGTCTAATGTGAAGTAACCTTGAAGACTTATCTAAGAATTTGTTATATACTTTCCTAACCTTGTCAGTCATAAAATAGTTATACATAAAATATAAAATAACATCGTATTTTCAAGCCTGGAATAAAATTTATATTTTTCTATAGTGGGTTTTTAAGTAAGTTTAGGAATAAAGAACAAGGCATAGAGACGGGGGGGAGGGGGGGGGGGGGGGGGGGGGGGCTCTCCTTTCCTGATCTATTCACCATTTAATGGTTAATTAATGTCACTAAAAGAAAAATGAATTTTTTCTGGTCCAACAAAAGAAAGAGGCAGAAAATAAAAAGTCAGGCAATATAAGTACAGCAATATAGAGTCTTCTATCCATTTCCAGTCTGTTAAAAATCAGCCTGATTTACAAAATTCCTACTTAACATTGAAAAGAGTCATAAAAGGCCCATAAAATATTAGCTGCACGGCTGCAATTCCTTTCACTACCTAGTATACATTATTTTGATATCCAAAATATTATTACTGGACCTAAGACCATTTGTTGATTAGGATAGGCTTTTACTGTTGACTAACCATTTCGTTCACAGTCTTGGTAACAGGCTATATATAGAATTACCATTTGCTATTTTTCCTATTATAGCACACTATGGTAAAAATAAACCATGGATACAGAGTTGCTATTTACAGTTGACCACAGAAGATATTCTAGCCTGTACTACAGCTGCATTGATTGTGCTCATGGGATCTAGATTGGCATTAATATTTAAAAAAAAATCATTATGGATTTTGAAACAATTACTGTTTTGGTAATACTGAGGGTTACTCTGGATTCTCTTCTGCACAAAAATATTCCTTCTCTTTCTGAGAGCAACCATCTGCTCTCCAGTGTGCAAAGAGGCGTGCTCGCACCCTGGAGAATAAATAAGTAACATTTAACTAGCAAGCCTTCATGCCTGCAGCCGGGGTGGAAACTAGTATCAATAACAAAAGAAAGATTGAATCATCATTACTTGATGAATCAAGTACTTCATGAAAGCAGCTTCAGCTGAGTGAGAACACACAGCCTTATGGCCAAGGCTTCTACCACCATGGTGGCTGAATTTTCTCCTATCTTCCTTAAGCTTCTGAGATAAGAATTTTAATAATACATGGTCAAAATATTTAGTGAAGATAAGGAGTTTTTTTTTTTTTTTACAATTTTTAGGCATAAAGATTTCAAGAGGCTAACAAGACCCATTCTTTCAGATTCAAAGGAGGGAAGTTTCCTTGCCCTTGTGGGCCTTTCACCTAAGTGCTGGAAGAGAAGTATCAATATGTGTGA